TTTTTTTTTTTTGGTTTTTCTCTGGTACCAGGAACTGAACTCACGACCTTGCGCTTGCCAGGCAGGTGCTTTGCCGCTGAGTTAAATCCCCAGCCCGAGGCAATATATTTGTAAACCTACCACGAAAAAGCAGGCAACAACTAAAGTGGACTGGGGTAGTATAGGTTAGACACATTCCTGGAAAGTGTAAATTCATGCTGTCATCCAAGATTCAAATAGAGACCAGTTGGTTTTGCTACATGTTTTGAGTTTGTTCTTATATCATGTATGCAGTCTAAAAAAGGTTTATAGAATTATATTGAACAAAAGAATAAAAAATTGTTGATTTGTTTGACTATAAATAAGTGGGTCCTTGCATCTAAATCTTAATCTTCAAGCCAAGACTGGACCACTTGTATTACCATTTACTGCATGCAATACAACTGGGCTCGGTTAAAAGTTTAGGATCTTAGGAAAAATTACTTGCACATACATGGAGAGATGTGTATGTGTGTGTGTATGTGTGTGATTTATCTCTATGTCTATACTTTTTGGGTCATAGGATTCCCTAGACTGTGAAATGTCAATGATGTGTCAAAATGCTCATTTTGATATAATGCTATGATTTACCCTGTGAAAGCATAGAATATCACACACACTCACACACACATACACATCCCTGGTATTTTCAGGCTTCCCTTGTCTGTGAGTTTTAAATAAATTCATTTGACTTTGATTTCCCTGTTGTACATGAGCGCTCACTGGTTTGATGAAAAACGGTACATTAAAACTTGTTCAGGGGCTGGGGATTTAGCTCAGTGGCAAAGCGCCTGCCTAGCAAGTATCAATTAATGTGATACACATGTATTACAAGGTATATGTATACACCATATTAACAGAGCCAGAGACAAAAATCACATGATCATCTCAATAGATGCAGAAAAAGCTAAAGTCTAATACTCATTCATGATTAAAAAAAAAAAAACCTATGCAAAATAAGAATAGATGGTCTTTTTCTCAATTTGATCAAACCATCTATGACAAACCAATGGCCAACATCATACTAAATGGACAAAAATTGAAAGCTTTCACCTTAAAATCAGGAACAATACAAGATGTCCACTGTCACTACTCCTATCCAATATAATTCTGGAAATATTAACCAAAGCAATTAGACAAGACAGGGAAATAAAAGGAAAAAGAATAGGGAAGGAAGAGGTGAAATTATCATTTTTTGTAGATGACATGATATTCTACATAGACGACCCCAAAAACTCCACCAAAAGGTTTATAGATTTAATAACCAAATTCAGTAGCATACCTGATAAAAAGTCAACACTCAGTAATCAACAGCATTCCTGTACACAAACAATAAATGGACTGAGAGAGAAATTAGGGAAACCACACCTTTCATAAGAACATCTAAAAAAAATGAAATACTTAGGAATCTATCTAACAAAGGAAGCAGAAGATCTATACAGAGAAATTCACAGTACCCTGAAAAAAAGAGATTGAAGTGGATTTCAGAAAATGGGAAGATATTCCATGTTTGTGGAGAGGAAGAACCAACAATGTGAAAATGGCCATACTCTCAACATTGTTGTACAGATTCAATGCAATCCCAATTAAAATACCATTAGTATACCTTATAGATCTAGGGAAAGCATTCCTAAAATTCATTTGGAACCAGAAGACAACTAGAATAGCAAAACAATCCTGGGCAATGAAAACAAGGCAGGAGGCACCACAATACCTGACTTGAAATTATACTACAAATCTACTGTGATAAAATCAGCAGGATACTGGCAGAAACAGACCTGAAGATCAATGGAACAGATTAGAAGATACAGACAAAACAACAAACACACTCAGCCACCTTATCTTTGACAAAGGGGCCAAACATGTTCACTGGAAGAAAGAAAGCCTCTTTAATAAGTGGTGCTGGAAAAACTGGCTTTGCACATACTGAAGACTAAAACTAGACCCATGTCTTTCACCACGCACTAAACTAAAGTCAAAATGGATCAAAGATCTAAATATTCAAACAGAAACACTGAATCTAATGGAAGAGAAATTAGGTGAAAACCTTGAAGACATAGGGTTGGGAAGAGAGTCCATGAACAAAAAACAAACTGCATGTGAAACACTTCAAAGAATCAACTGGGATCTTCTCTTATTGAAAACATTTTGCACATTAAAAGAAACCACCAACAGAGTAAAAAGAAAAATCCATAAATCGGGAAAAAATTTTAGCCAACTACCCCTCAGACAAAGGACTTCTATCTAGAACATATAAAGAATTGAAAAAAGTCAGGCCCCCAAAATTCAAAGACCCAATCCAAAAATGGGCATCTTAAATGAATACACACTTCTCAGATGAAGACTTACTAATGGAGAATAAATATATGAAAAAATGTTCAACATCATTGGTCATTCAAGAAGTGCCAATTAAAACAACATTGAGATTCCATCTCACCCCAGAAAGAATGACTATCATTAAGAAATCAACCAATGACAAATGCTGGAGAGGCTGTGGGGAAAAAGGAACACTTCTCCACTACTGGTGGGAGTGTAGATTGGTGAAACCACTGTGGATATCATTGTGGAGATTCCTCAGTAAACTAGGATTTGAGGTTCTACTTAACCCACCTATTCCCTTTCTGGTGTTTTCCCAGAATTACAAACATCACACCACAGCAATATATGTGCACCCATGTTTATAGTAGCACAATTTGTCATAACTAAACCTTGGAAACAACGCAAATGCCCATCAACTGAGGAATGGACAAAAAAGATGTGGTATTTTTATGCAATGGCATATTACTCAGCTATAAAAAAAGATGCTTTTATAGGTAAACGGATGCAAATAAAGGCCATACTCATAAGTGAAATAAATCAGACCCACATGTGTAGACAACATGTTGGCTCCCTAGTGTAAGAACATGAAAGAGTAAGTGGAACCCAAACTGTACAATAGATATTGGGAAAGGGAAAGAAATTGCTCAAAAGAGGAAACAACTGGTATTAGGGAAAGGACAAAAGGAAAGAGAGAAGAAAGGGAAACATATATGTATATATGTGTATATATGTGTATATATATATATATATACATACACAGAAAGTTAGCTGAGGTAACTGTAGTACTGACTCCTCCCTTTTGTTCTTGCTGCTTTTGCTGTCTTCTGCTGCCATGAAGAGTTGCCCTCAACCATGTGCCACTCTGCCTTGGAGCCAGCCAAGTATGGACTGAACCTGCACAAACTGTGCACTAGATAACTATACTGCTTATGTCTAATGTTTTATATGTTCTTTTTCTTTCTTTCTTCCATTCTTTCTTTCTTTCTTCCTTCCTTTCTTTCTTTCTTTCTTTCTTTCTTTCTTTCTTTCTTTCTTTCTTTCTTTGACCAAATTTGCATGGTTATATCTGGTAATCTGAACAACTACTTTGAAGACAACAGTATACAACATAATTCCTATCATCTTGTTTGGTAAAACTCTGTATCATTTCTAATTTTTTGTTTTTATTTTTTATTCTCTTTAATGGTTTGATTAAGCTTGCATTCTTACAGCTGGTAATCCGACCAACTTCAATGAAGATAAAAATATGTAATATAACAACCACCGTTAATCCTTATCATTTTGTTCTGCAACCCGGTATCATTCATTGTTTTTGCTTTATTTTGTTTTTATCTATGTTTTTGGCATTTTGCTATTCTTTTTTTTCAATTCTCTCTAAAATTTAAAAAAAAAAGCATGAAAATGGAACTATCTTCCTGCCAGCATATCCTGCCCATCCTTACTTGCATTCACTCGCCAGTACTTTGAGAAGCAATCTTTTGGGTATATCCATAATTTATAATTTCTCTGTGTGGTGTGCAGAATGTAAACCTGTTGGTTCTTACTTGGTAATCAACAGAAGCATGGAAATCATGTGTTGAATATCTCCATAACTTCCCTTGTTTCTACAGTTTTCTTTTGTCATTTCAGGTAACTTTTGTTCTATGTATGCAATTCATATTTGAATCTCTATACCAATAAGAATTGTTCAATATTTTTTATATTTGTTATGTTATTTGAGTTCTTTCTTAGGTCAGTTGTCCTATTTGTTCATCTTGTTTCT